GTTTTTAATTTTTTAACCTTTTTAATTAATATATATTTTTTTCCAACGACATAACATTCTCATAAATAAAGCCAAAAAGGCAATGTAACTTAGACAGAATATCAAGTAGCAAAGCTAGAATGACCAGCATACTACGACACCAACACCCAACAAAAATAAAAAGACCCCAACAGGGTAATACCGAGTGTAAACTCCCAACACGAGAATAAAGGCTACACTCGGCCACACTGAGGCCAACGGCCGAAACCTAAAACACAAACACACCCACACAGACACAATGAACACACAACAAAGAAAAAACAGATACATAAACAACAATAATAAACTAAAATGGTGCCCTTCCCCTACGAACCCAACTAAGTTCAACCAGCGGTATTACTATAATTAATATATATATTAAATTATATATTAATATATATTAGATTATATATATTAATAATTTCATATATATTAATATATTAATAATAATTAATATTAATATATATTAATATATATTAAATATTTTCGTATAAATTATATATTAATAATTTCATATATTTAAATATATATTTTATAATTAATCAAAAAAATTTGATAATTAATATATATTTTATAATTAATTAAAAACAGTTTCTAATTAATATATATTTAAATTAATATATTAATATATATTAAATTATATATATTAGTAATTCCATATATATTAATACATATTAAAAAATATATTAATATAGAGTAATAAAATTAATATATATTTTATATTATCATATATTAAAAAAGTTAATATTACACACACACACACACATATATATATATATATTTATATTTATATATATTAGTAGAATTATAATTACTAGTCTAATATAGGTTGAAAAAATTATAATTAGTTTGTATAATTATATAATCAAAAAGTGTAATTATAATAATGATGTGCTTAAGAATATTACTAATTTTTTAGAAAAATAGTTACTTGTAATAATTAATAGTTTATGGAATAATAATAATAAATAATTTTATGAGGAGTTTTGATTAGTTTGCCTAAATATTATTAACAATAATCGTAATTATGTTATAACAATTAATAAAATAACGATATTTAGAAAGGTTGTTTACTAATAGTTTAAATTTTGGATCTATGATGGTGAATCTTTCAAACTAGCCACCCTTCAAGAGTGGGCCGAGTATATTTTCCAGTATGAGGGTTCTGGACCCCGACATATGAGGAGTCGGTGAGGAGTCGGTGTGTAGATTGGTGTAGATTACTATCTATCTATTTATCTATCTATCTATCTATCTATCTATTATTATTATTATTATTATTATTATTATTATTATTATTATTATTATTATTATTATTATTATTATTATTATTATTATTATTATTACTATTATTATAAGTGTCTTAGAGAATATGTTAGGAATTTTAATATTTAGTAAGATATCTTGTCTTGTTGGACAAGTTAAGGTCTAGGGTTAGAAGCCTTATTTAAAGGGCTTTTCTGCTTTGTTATGAGATGGTTGATTATTAAATAAGAATATGAATTGATTGTGAGTTTATCAAGAGAGTACCTCGTTTATCCTTTCAACTCGTACGCTTCCCTACATCAGTTGGTATCAGCAGTCAGTACGATTCGCGATGCTGTCGCGAAGACAAGATGCTGCAAACGACCGTGTCGCCGCCATCTACAACCTGAGCCGCCGGACCGAGTGGTATGGATGCCAGCTCGATACGATGGGTCGCCAGATTGCAGATCTGTCCGCGGAGATCGGGGACATACGTCTAACTATCCGTACCATGGTTCGGGACAAGCAAGCGTACCGTGACGCCGGCAACCGGGGCGTGTGCAGGGGAATTCACGGAGGACGTGGAGGCCGTGGTCCAGACGGGGCGCCCCGCTAAAGATCTCCACTACCACCGTCCGGCGACGAAGATGGTGAGGAGACAGTCTCGGAGGTGAATTCCTTTGACAATTTCGCACCCCCGCATGTCGAGGCAGACCACTTCGCTGCATACGGCGGCCGTGACATGCAGCAAGGGGGCCCAGTCTTCGTGGACGGCGACGATCAATGCAAAGACAGAGGCAAGCGCGAGGAAGCTGCCATCGTCGGCAGATATCGTGCCCGACGCGATTGGGAATTTGATCGTAATTATGGTCGATGGGAGGGCCCGTTCCGTGTAGACACCCCGAATTCGACGAAGAGCAAGTTGGCGGGTCATTGTACGATGGTCCCCCTGTGATTGATGAAGGACCCGAGGAGGTCGAGGAGCGTCTTACCAGCAAAGTGGACGGTCTCTACGACGGTCCGCTGATTTTCGATGAGGAGCCTCAGGGGCTAGAGGAATTCCATCATGTTTCGGGCATCGAAATTCAGCTGTTGGAAGAATTGATAGTTCTTTTGTTGCGCAGACCCGAGCTTTTCTTCCACGAGAAATGATATTTTTTGATCCCCACGGTGACTTCAAAATTACTGCATATTGCCTTTTCATGAATTTCAAGGGGGTGTTACCATGGAGGTGCGATATTCAACCTTCGTGTTCGACCGAGGAAAACGACGGGGGTTTCCTACCATGGGTTCCACACCACATGCCGGCCACGGGTGCGCATCAACTTCGAGGGCGAAGCCTTTCGAATTGGGGGAAAATGGTGTAGATTAGTATCTATTATTATTATTATTATTATTATTATTATTATTATTATTATTATTATTGTTATTATTATTATTATTATTATTATTATTATTATAAT